GTAGAATTTATCTTAATTATTTTATATCACCTAACTAAAGTCAGTTAGTTTCAGTGGTATTAACGCAAATGTTTTAGCAATGTACTCTCTAAAATCCGGTTATAATTAGAACATACTGCTTCATTGTTGATGGTGTTTCCCTTTATCGTTAGAGTAACTCTAGTTGGGGCATATTTAACACAGGTAAGCTTAGGGAATCCTCGGCAGTTATCTAGCCTCATTATGGATTATAGCATGAGGGAGGGAGACAGTCAGACAGACAGACAGAGAGACACAGAGACAGACAGGTAGACACAGACAGACAGACAGAGACAGACACAGACAGAGACATGTTGAAAAACACACAGATCTGGATTGCCCAGGTCGACCCCTGAGCCACCGGGTAACGCACCTTGTGTAATATATGTACGTTACCTGAGGATCAGACACTAATTATGCATAACAAAACAAAACAAATATGAAGCAATATATATATATATATATATGATATATATATATATATATATATATATATATATATATATATATATATATATATATATATATATATATATATATATATATATATGATAAAACTTCACACGCAGTGAAGTGCAGAGCTGCCATAGTGAAAGTTTTCAAGAGACAATTGTAGATAATCGTGCAGTGAGTGCCGGGTTGCAACTGCAGATAAGTTATCACAAAACAACTGTGGACCCAGGCGGGGCATGGAGAGTAGAGGAAATCTAGATTACATTTAGCAGCAGTGATATGTCCACGGTTATCTTATAACACAACAGTTCGGTATAACTGGCCACATGTATAGCTGTGTCTTCCCTTGCACACACTTCGTCATATTCTGTGAGCTTACAGTGAGCCAAAAAATGCTTCAAATAAGACGCTTGTAGTTCGTGAGAATGGGCTATATGATGTCAATACTTTACAGGGCCGCAGAAAAAAAAATCCATTCAACACGCCTTATATTGCATTCAATATCTCCACCTCAACACTTGCTGGGTACAACGCTTCACAGCTCACAGTTAATTATATATAATTATAGAGCACAACTCTGCACATTATACGCACGCGCTCCACCGAGGACTGTGATCAAGCTCCAGGCAGATGAGCAGTCGTATTTGCTGGCCAAGAAAGTTGTGCAAATGTAGGAAGGCCTGACACAGACTTACAGCTTGCCTTTTACAAAGGAAATACTTGTGTGAAGATCAATAATTAGAAAGTGTGATAAGGAGTCCCAAATACTTGAATAAGTTTCAAAGACATGTAGTCACTCGATAGAGTACTGGGAATGTTACATATAAATAATGAAATGATCAGAAGGAAACATAGCCGCTCTGCTAGGTCATATGTGCCCACTCACACAGGTTGTTCTTAGTCTGTTTGTCACTCGAAATGTTCTGGCAACATCAACTCTTATAGTCCCACATACATATGTAAATGTATATTATTTAACGATTCTCTCATGACGCCTGCAGCCCAGCCTCCGGTGAGCAGAAGGAAGTATACTTCAGGACAGTAGCGGCTTGTGTAATACCAGAATGGAAGGACTGCGTCACGTAAAGCTTCACATAACAGTCATTGTTTGTCAAGGGATAATTAAACTCACTTAAGCACCACCAGCAGCAAGTAGCACCATCTTCACTCAACATAAACACTAAACATGGTGCCGACGGACTGACTGGCCTGCGCCGAGTGCAGGCTCATAAATCCTACAAAAGATTTACCCATAAATCCTACATTTCACAGAGAAATCACAGTAACGTGATATACATCAATGAGAAAATCAATTGGAGCTCTGAGGTGACTCGAACCCGTGACCGAGAGAATCCCAGCCGCTGACGCTACCCACTGGACCACCCTGACTTGTTTAAATTCATATATAATCGGATTTCTATTGAAATCTATTTAAGAAGAGCATAAGAATAAATGTAACTGCAGAAGGCCCTACGAGGCAGCTGTTATTTATAACCACCCAATCCCACTCATATATATGTCCAACCCACGCTTAAAACAATCATGGGACCTCGCCTCCACCACGGTACGCGGTAATTGGTTCCACAAATCAACAACACTGTTACGGAACTAGTGTTTACTCAAGTCTTGTCTAATCTTATCCAATTTATTTTCTCATTTATATATATCACGTTAGTATGATTTACCTCTGTATCTGATGTTGGAGCATACGGTGGATGAACTACACTCTCCTACACCCGAGTGTTTGGAGCTCATAAATATATAACTGGGAATGGGTTCACAAGACTTCCTGTGAATTCAGTAGAAACCTGGGCGTATGGTTTTTAACCAAGTCAGAGTGGTCTAGTGGTTAGCGCCAGCGTCTGGGAATCTCTCGATTGTGGGTTCGAGTCACCTCAGAGCTCCAGTTGATTTTCACAAGTCCTACATTATCGTCTAGCATAAACATCTATTTTTGTCTAATTTTAATTAAAATTTTCCAAATTCATTTATAAACATATTAAAAATAACATATTCATTCTTTTTATTACGAGATATTTGTTAGTTGCTTATCATTGTAGTGTATTCACTTAGTTGTCGTCACCTAGTTGTGCTTGCGGGGGTTGAGCTCTTGCTCTTTCAGCCCGCCTCTCAACTGTCAATCAATTTTTTTCACACACACACACACACACACACACACACACACACACACACACACACACACACACACACACACACACACACACACACACACACACACACACACACACACCAGGAAGCAGCCCATACCTGCTGTCTAACTTTCAGGTACCTAATTATTGCTGGACACTCATAATTACTGCTATGCACAGGAGCATCAGGGTGAAAGAAACTCTGCCCCTTTGTTTCTCCCATCGCCGGGATCGATCCCCGGGCCATAGGAATACGAATCCAGAGCGCTGACTACTCAGCCACAGGGCCCCCCATGCAGGTTCCACAGCGTTCGTCTCCTCTTGCGAACACGAAAATTATCACCAACAATCATTATTCTGTGAATTCGTGAGTTCATCAACATTGTTGGGAAATGATCCGGATTTCACCGTGTTTATTACACACTGGGTTCTGTTCGTTACAAAGTTGAAGATCTATCTCCCTACTCTGCCAGTAATTCCTTTTGTGAGAATTTTGTATGCAATAACTCCATGATCACATTTGTCGAAAGCTTTTGCGAAGTTTGTGTATATTACATTAGCGTTTTGTTTCATGGCATCTAAGGACAAGCCACAGTGGTCTTTCCATTGTGAGAGGCAGAAGCGCCCAGTCATGAATCCATGTTACCCAGGATAATGAAGACATTGATTCCATGTGTTTTGTGATCTTACTTCTTATGACTCTTTCAAAGATTTTTATGATTTGTGATGTAAGAGGTATGTGTCACAAATTTTTTACGTCAACTTTATTACCTCCTTTGTGAAGTGGTGCGAGATCTGCTGTTTCAGGTATGCCATAGATAACAACAGTATTTAGGCTACATCTCCAAAAGATGTTTAGAGCCTTTGATAGTGTTTTTTTTTTTTTTTGCAATTTTTGATGAATATAGAATTCCCGGAGTTTGGGCCTGGTGCAGAGTACAAGCGCATGCTGTCTATGGCTACTTACAAGTCGACTGTGGTTAGAGTGACATCTGATGATCGCGTCACTGAAAACAGAATCGTACTCTAACCTCAGTATTTCAATTATTTCTTTGCTCTAATCTGTGAAGGTTCCGTCAATCTTGAGCGATGACCCAATACTAGATGTTTTTGTTCTAGTTTTGCGTGGGAGAAAAAGTACTTTGAATTCCCCTCTATTTTGCTTATGTCCTTTGCTGGATTTTATATGATTCTTGCAACTTTAACTTAATCGTTTCCATTTCACTACATAGTTTTCGTCGTTCATGGAATAGAGTTAAGCATTTAAGATGTTCTGCAATTTGTTTTCGTTGCCTGTAGAGGGGACGCCGTTCTCGTTCCAGTTTGCATATTTTTCTTTTTCGCCTTAGTGGAACGTGACTTGCCCATATTTCTAGTGCTACTGTTATGACATGATCCCCAAATAAGTAATTATCAAAAGAAGGCACCAAGCCGTGAAGGCTATGTAGCACCATCAAATGTGCGGGATATTCAAAGGGCGCTAAATATCACTAATGATGCCAATACGAGAACAAAAGCACATAAGGCGAACGATACCAAAGATATCTGATTCACGAAGGATTCTATCGAGGGGACAAGTGATCCCGATGGACGGTCGTGAAGCAAGACACACACACAAGTCCAAGAAGACAAGACATTCAACAAGAATATGCACGACCGTAAGAGGGACAATGCAGTTTGGACTGCATTGTCCCTCTTACGCCGCCCTGTAAAGAGCAGGGCGGCGCTCCAATAGTACAAACATTAAAGTACTAAGCAATTAGATAGTAGAATTTTGTACTATTCACTTTAAAGAATCCGAAAAAATGAAGCTGAAAAACTAACTTTAATAATCCTAGGCCTAAAATAGCACGCATATGTACTGTATTAGACATCAGATAGTTTCTAGTTTTCTAGTTTCTGATTGCGTTTTACGCCGTTATATGTACTATGGTGGTCATCGTTATTACCAACACTAGGAGGATGGACTGTACTGTATGATAGTTACCTGTGTGATAGATTTAAAGTACATTCTCATGAAATAAATGAGTCTCTAGGAGCAGGCTTCAGATGAGCTGAGGTTGGATAACAGCTCTTGCTTGCAGTTTCAATAGGAACGTCATTCGACACCCATTACGAAAATTAGTCTTGGTTAAAACAATATACAAAAAAGAGAACTACATTGACAGAAATACACAACTAAAAGAGAGTTTCATATTACGAGAGAAATTTAAATATATGCATAACATACATGAAATGTTTTCATTAGCAAGAGTAGGGTTAAAAACATCCATATATTGAGAAGGGTGACAGAGCGTTTGTGTACTCTACCACGATAACATTGTGATCGATATTACTGTAGGAGGAGCCACTTGAGACGAGCTGTGCTATCAGTCAGTCGCTGGCTCAGGTACAGGCGTACCCACTCTTCAAACAGCTGACAGTGCCACATTACACAGTGGGGGGATCAGTAAGATCTCTCTCACGCTTCCTCCAGTTACTTTCACTAATATTCACTCCATAACACTCTTCCCCCGTCTCCCAATGAAGGTAAATACGATACTTTTATTTAAATTCCACAAATAACAAATACGTTTCATCAACTGATCTTAGAGCAGGTAGTTTTAGTACAAGAATCGAGTATAATGAACCTGAGCAGATCGAAGGCACAGGTCAGTCATTCGTGTTAAATATTACCGGGTCAACACTATTGTACCCGGTAATATTTAGGTTAAGATCTCAGTTACTGACACACGGGTTGGCTGTCTCACTTGATGTGACACAATCCCCATATATGACCGCGAAAAGATTAAGTTTACCAGTATTAAGGTTTCTATAGTGTCTCAGAGGCAGCAGTAGCAGTGTGTGTAGAGGAGTGTGATCATGTCAGGGACACCACTAACAGTGTAGAGGAGTGTGATCATGTCAGGGACACCAATAACAGTGTAGAGGTGTGTGATCATGTCAGGGACACCACTAACAGTGAAGAGGTGAGTGATCATGACAGGGACACCAATAACAGTGTGTAGATGGGTGTGATCATGTCAGGGGACACCAATAACAGTGAAGAGGTGAGTGATCATGTCAGGGGGACACCACTAACAGTATAGACGTGTGTGAACATTTCAGGGACACCACTAACAGTGTAGAGGTTTGTAATCATGTCAGGGGACACCATTGCAGTGTAGAGGTGTGTGATCATGTCAGGGACACCATTAACAGTGTAGAGGTGTGTAATCATTCCAAGGGACACCACTAACAGTGTATTGGTGTGTGATCATGTCAGGGGACACCACTAACAGTGTGTAGAGTTGTGTTATCATGTCAGGGCACACCTGGAAGATACTGGAGGGCCAAGTACCAAATCTACACAGTAAAATAACAACATACTGGAGTGAACGATATGGAAGAAAATGCAGAATAGAACCAGTGAAGAGCAGAGGTGCCATAGGCACAATCAGAGAACACTGTATAAACATCAGAGGTCCGCGGTTGTTCAACACCCTCCCAGCAAGCATAAGAAATATTGCCGGAACAACCGTGGATATCTTCAATAGGAAACTAGATTTATTCCTCCAAGGAGTGCCGGACCAACCGGGCTGTGGTGGGTATGTGGGCCTGCGGGCCGCTCCAAGCAACAGCCTAGTGAACCAAACTCTCACAAGTCAAGCCTGGCCTCGGGCTTGGCTTGGGGAGTAGAAGAACTCCCAGAACCCCATCAACCAGGTAACCACTAGCAGTGTGTTGAGGTGTGTGACCATGTCAGGGACACCACTAACAGTGTAGAGTTGTGTGATCATGTCAGGGACACCACTAACAGTGTAGAGTTGTGTGATCATGTCAGGGGACACCACTAACAGTGTAGAGGTGTGTGATCATGTCAGGGGACACCACTAACAGTGTGTAGAGTTGTGTCATCATGTCAGGGACACCACTAACATTGTAGAGGTGTGTGATCATGTCAGGGGACACCACTAACAGTGTGTAGAGTTGTGTCATCATGTCAGGGACACCACTAACAGTGTAGAGGTGTGTGATCATGTCAGGTACACCACTAACAGTGTGTTGAGGAGTGTGATCATGTCAGGGACACCACTAACAGTGTGTAGAGTTGTGTCATCATGTCAGGGACACCACTAACAGTGTGTTGAGGTGTGTGATCATGTCAGGGGACACCACTAGCAGTGTAGAGGAGTGTGATCATGTCAGGGACACCACTAACAGTGTGTAGAGTTGTGTGATCATGTCAGGGACACCACTAACAGTGTGTTGAGGTGTGTGATCATGTCAGGGACACCACTAACAGTGTGTAGAATTGTGCGATCAAGTCAGTAACACCACTAACAGTGTAGAGGTGAGTGATCATGTCAGAGGACACCACTAACAGAGTAGAGGTGTGTGATCATGTCAAGGGACACCACTACAGTGTGTTGAGGTGTGTGATCATGTCAGGGACACCACTAACAGTGTGTAGAGGTGTGTGATCATGACAGAGACACCAATAAAAGTGTGTAGAGGTGTGTATTCATGTCAGGGGACACCACTAAAAGTGTGTAGAGGTGTGCGATCATGTCAGGGGACACCACTAGCAGTGTGTTGAGGTGTGTGATCATGTCAGGGACACCACTAACAGTGTAGAGGTGTGTAATCATGTCAGGGACACCACTAACAGTGTGTTGAGGTGTGTGATCATGTCAGGGACACCACTAACAGTGTGTTGAGGTGTGTGATCATATCAGGGACACCACTAACAGTGTATAGGTGTGTGATCATGTTAGGGACACCACTAACAGTGTAGAGGTGTGTGATCATATCAGGGACACCAACAACAGTGTTTAGAGGTGTGTGATCATGTCAGGGGACACCACTAAAAGTGTGTAGAGGTGTGTGATCATGTCAGTGACACCAATAGCAGTGTGTAGATGGGTGTGATCATGTCAGGGACACCACTAACAGTGTAAATGTGTGTGATTATTTCAGGGACACCACTAACAGTGTAGAGGTGTGTGATCATGTCAGGGACACCGCTAACAGTGTAGAGGTGTGTCATCATGTCAGGGGACACCAGTAACAGTGTAGAGGTGTGTGATCATGTCAGGGGACACCACTAACAGTGTGTAGAGTTGTGTCATCATGTCAGGGACACCACTAACAGTGTAGAGGTGTGTGATCAGGTCAGGGGACACCACTAACAGTGTAGAGGTGTGTGATCATGTCAGGGGACACCACTAAAAGTGTGTAGATGTGTGTGATCATGTCAGGGACACCAATAACAGTGTGTAGATGGGCGTGATCATGTCAGGGGACACCACTAACAGTGTAGAGTTGTGTGATCATGTCAGGGGACACCACTAACAGTGAAGAGTTGTGTGATCATGTCAGGGACACCACTAACAGTATGGAGTTGTGTGATCATGTCAGGACCACCACTAACAGTGTAGAGGTGTGTGATCATGTCAGGGGACACCACTAACAGTGTGTAGAGTTGTGTCATCATGTCAGAGACACCACTAACAGTATAGAGGTGTGTGATCATGTCAGGGGACACCACTAACAGTGTGTAGAGTTGTGTCATCATGCCAGGGACACCACTAACATTGTAGAGGTGTGTGATCATGTCAGGGGACACCACTAGCAGTGTAGAGGAGTGTGATCATGTCAGGGACACCACTAACAGTGTATAGAGTTGTGTGATCATGTCAGGGACACCACTAACAGTGTGTAGAGTTGTGTCATCATGTCAGGGACACCACTAACAGTGTAGAGGTGTGTGATCATGTCAGGGGACACCACTAACAGAGTAGAGGTGTTTGATCATGTCAGGGGACACCACTAACAGTGTGTTGAGGTGTGTGATCATGTCAGGGACACCACTAACAGTGTAGAATTGTGTGATCATATCAGGGACACCACTAACAGTGTGTTGAGGTGCGTGATCATGTCAGGGACACCACTAACGGTGTAGAGGCGTGTGATCATGTCAGGGACACCACTAACAGTGTAGAATTGTGTGATCATATCAGGGACACCACTAACAGTGTGTTGAGGTGCGTGATCATGTCAGGGACACCACTAACAGTGTAGAGGCGTGTGATCATGTCAGGGACACCACTGACAGTGTAGAGGTTTGTGATCATGTCAGGGACACCACTGACAGTGTAGAGGTGTGTGATCATGTCAGGGACACCACTGACAGTGTAGAGTTGTGTGATCATGTCAGGGACACCAATGACAGTGTGTAGATGGGTGTGATCATGTCAGGGGACACCAATAACAGTGAAGAGGTGAGTGATCATGTCAGGGGGACACCACTAACAGTATAGACGTGTGTGAACATTTCAGGGACACCACTAACAGTGTAGAGGTTTGTAATCATATCAGGGGACACCATTGCAGTGTAGAGGTGTGTGATCATGTCAGGGACACCACTAACAGTGTGTAGAGTTGTGTCATCATGTCAGGGACACCACTAACAGTGTAGAGGTGTGTGATCATGTCAGGGGGACACCACTAGCAGTGTAGAGGAGTGTGATCATGTCAGGGACACCACTAACAGTGTGTAGAGTTGTGTGATCATGTCAGGGACACCACTAACAGTGTGTTGAGGTGTGTAATCATGTCAGGGACACCACTAACAGTGTGTAGAATTTTCTGATCATGTCAAGAACACCACTAACAGTGTAGAGGTGTGTGATCATGTCAGGGGACACCACTAACAGAGTAGAGGTGTTTGATCATGTCAGGGGGCACCACTAACAGTGTGTTGAGGTGTGTGATCATGTCAGGGACACCACTAACAGTGTAGAATAGTGTGATCATATCAGGGACACCACTAACAGTGTGTTGAGGTGCGTGATCATGTCAGGGACACCACTAACAGTGTAGAGGCGTGTGATCATGTCAGGGACACCACTAACAGTGTAGAATTGTGTGATCATATCAGGGACACCACTAACAGTGTGTTGAGGTGCGTGATCATGTCAGGGACACCACTAACAGTGTAGAGGCGTGTGATCATGTCAGGGACACCACTAACAGTGTAGAGGAGTGTGATCATGTCAGGGACACCAATAACAGTGTAGAGGTGTGTGATCATGTCAGGGACACCACTAACAGTGAAGAGGTGAGTGATCATGACAGGGACACCAATAACAGTGTGTAGATGGGTGTGATCATGTCAGGGGACACCAATAACAGTGAAGAGGTGAGTGATCATGTCAGGGGGACACCACTAACAGTATAGACGTGTGTGAACATTTCAGGGACACCACTAACAGTGTAGAGGTTTGTAATCATGTCAGGGGACACCATTGCAGTGTAGAGGTGTGTGATCATGTCAGGGACACCATTAACAGTGTAGAGGTGTGTAATCGTGTCAGGGGACACCAGTAACAGCGTAGAGGTGTGTCATCATGTCAGGGACACCACAAACAGTGTAGAGGTGTGTGATCATTCCAAGGGACACCACTAACAGTGTATTGGTGTGTGATCATGTCAGGGGACACCACTAACAGTGTGTAGAGTTGTGTTATCATGTCAGGGCACACCTG